ATAATAGTATATGGTAATAGGTAATAGGGAGTAAGTGAGAAACCACCCCCAGTGGGTAAAGTACCCACTTTTCACTATTTATGTTTCATAACAGTACAGTGTATTGTACAGTGACATTAAGTGTCTCAATGTAGACCCCTACCTACCCTTTCGGGGATAAAGGACGTGATGTTATGTTATGTTAAAATACCGTGGTTGCAGCCAGAGTTTTTCTGATCGCATTTTGTTGTAAATCATGGATTAATAGTCAACCTATGAAATAGGATAATTTTGGCAGTTGTCTATCTATCGACGCAGACAGAGTAGTGTTATGCAAGTTTTAGTCTAATTTAAATACTTTCTTAAGAATTTGACTAACAAATTCAGAAATGGAGATATCATTAATTTATTCAAAATCTAGTATTCCGATAGATTAAAGATCTCAAAAAACTCTCCAAAGCTATAAAACGTCTTGTACGTAAAACTACAAAAGAAAACGTTGTGTCTTGACTTGATAAAAAAATACCACAAGAAATAACGACGCCAGAACTGTTTACAAAATGAACTGATAAATTAAAAATATTTTGACCGAAATGAATAGGTAATAACTCCCTTTAACACTGTTTAAGCAAAGTTTTTTAAAGAAAACGTGCCATGTTTTTGTCTGTAATTAAACATTATTATATTTCATAGTGTTGATTTATTATATCACTATTCATGTTTTAATGATACGTCGTTTTAAAAAAACATGTTACAGTAAAAAACGTAATTGTTTAAGTACCCAATGAGTACCTTCCTTCCATCACCAAACCGTTAAATATGATTGTAATAAAACACCTAATGTTTACCAATATTAAAATTAAAAGAAAAAAATATCTATATAAGTACTTATCATGAAATAATAATAATCTATGGAAAATTATTTCTATGCATTGAAAAATGAATCCAAAAAATAGCTACTTACGTTTAAAAATCCAGTGTACAAAAAAATATGCGTCCAATATAAATGGGAAACCACTAAGAACAAGTCACAAGTTCACCGCACTATAATAGTTCACTAAACACAAGCTAACTGACTTTAAAAACAAAAATTAAAAAAAAATAATTCGCACACACAAAAAAATCGCAAAACTCGAAATTAATCGTCGGGTGAAACTGCTCCTTGTTTCGTGTGACTTATGGTCGATATTCGATCGTGGTACCGGTGATAGTGATGGTCGCGTATGATGCGTGTTTGCGGCGTGGTGTGTGCCGCTATTTTGCGCGTGCGCACCTGTACTCGCCCACCGCCCCGTAAGTGGGTGACATAGAATTCACAAGTCAGGTTAAAGATTATGATTTTTCTGATATGGTTTCGATTTTTTTTTAGAAAATGTTGAATGAGGATTAGAATTAGTCTTTCAAGCTTCGTTTTTTGAGAATTTTGTATTTTATTATAGCTACATAACATCACGCGTTTTATTCCCGAAGAGAGAGCAGAGGTGGACATTATGCCACTGTACGATG